TGTGTTTTTATTAAATTAGAATATTTATAACTCATTTCAGCTAGCATTACAAGTTAGAAATTCACTTTAAATTGTGTATTCGTCTTCTATTAATTTTAAAAATATCTATAAATGTGATCAATCCTGATCTATAAAAAAATGTGTTGATGTGTATTATTTATTTAAATACAGATATGTCACAACCAATTACCTTACAAGAAAACTGAGTTAAAAGTTGTGAGCCTAAGTTAAGTGCTTATCATGATTTACTTAATGAGATTTCTGACAGTAAAGTACTATTTACATTACTGACCTGTGTCTTTCCCACTTTGTATGTTGTTGGGTCAGCTACAATTTGATCAAATATTGCTTTAGACAACTGAGATCCTGTGTACTCACGTGCTAAATCTTTGAACCTATTAAGTTAAAATTAATTTGAGTTCACTACAGCTGAGATTTGATTTTCTACAAAAACAAAGTTTGAAAGATTTTTAATGCTAGACAACAAAATAATTATAACCATTCTGTAAACATTCATATAATAAAGATTTAGCAAAAAATTATTAGGGGCCATCATCATATAATGTCATGCATATAAGTGTAGGGTCATATATTTGCTACATCACATGATAACGTTATCTAATTTTTTGTAATACATTTGTGATGATGGGAGAGTTTGGAGCTAAAATCTGTGATCAGTCCCTTAGTCATCTCAAGTAACACTGACACAAAATATTTAAGGCTGGAAATTGAACTTTCTTTGCTATGATGTTCAAATAAAAAGCAGCAACAAAAACAAGAATGTTCATGAATCAATTTCAATGAGTTTGTGCAACTCATCCCGCTTTATCATTTTCATATTTTCATCTATGAATTAAAAAGGATTTGATCCACTTACATAGAAAAAAAATATAATTGACATTACTTTTCAAACAAAAACTTACAAAAGATCAAAATTTAAAATTCTTTTAAAAGAATTATTAAAAAAAATAATTATATAATTAGCGTATTTCCTCTTACTTTAGCTCAAAGTCATGCTTAGGAAGACGAAAAGGAAATCCAAATGTACGAATTCTAGCTATCTCCTTTACACCATTGTATTGAAGTTGAATTTTGACTCTTTCTTCTGAGAAGTCATTTGGCTTCTGTCTGTCATTTGGTTTGATGCATCTGAATTTATTAAATATACAAACTTAATAAGATGCAGTGAAATCTATATTTAGAAGTAAATTTGCACAAGCTGAGCTCATAAGTTATGTATCTATCTAGAAAGTTTTCATAATTATGTTAATTTTAAAGTAGGATATTTTAATAATCATTAAAATCTTTGCATTAATTTTTTTTACACCATGACTCCATTAGTCTTCATGATTTAAATAACCTAAGAATAAATAAGATGAAATTCATACCTGACAAAATATGGATGTGCACCTTTCATGGATTTTAGCAATTCATCCAAGGAATTCTGTAAAGATTAAGTCAAATATTCAAATTTGATATTGCCAGAATCTCTAAGGATGCTGATTGATTAAGGACTTGTAATGACAGATATTTGCACACACCCAAAAGTCCATAAATTATATCATTTATGAAACTGCACGAGCACCAGTATTAGGAATTAAGTTAAAAAATCTTTTACATTTAAATTATTTTTATCTTACCTTAAACTATGTGATATGAGTGTTTTGTTTAGCTCTATCCCCTTGCTTGAAGCTGGGAGGCTTGTCACCAAATCTAGTCACAATAATTTGTATAACAATTTATTTAGAATAAATAGATTGAAGTAAATGGAAACAAATAAAACAGATTAAAATGTATAATAACTCTCTCAAAAAATGAATGCTTCTCAAAAAATCAAAGTGATTTTTTTTTGTCCTATGTCACTGTTTATTTTCAAGGGAAAAAAAAATTATTTCGTTTTTACATACTTTTGTCTGAGTGAAACATTTCTGCTTTGGTTAATACTTTGAGATAAGTTCCCTTCTGTGAATACTGGGTGTTTTGTGTTTGGTCGTCTAGATCCTCGAAAATTGTACCGAGCCCTGTAAAAATTATGACAAAAAAAAAGTTTTATATTTGCTTTAAATTATATACATAAATATTTTTGACATTGTTTAAAATTGACTTGAAATTCTTCTATTTTTATTACATAACATGTTTATAACTCAAATATTTATTTAATATTTATTTATTTATTATTTATTTATATTTCAAAAAAGCATTTGCAAAAAGTACTGTCTAAAAATAAAATGTTACTTTTGGATAATAAATGTAGAACATTGTTTGCATAAATTGTTTCTAAATTACTGATAATAAAGCTCATTAAAAATACATGTTTTATAGCTTAACAAAGTAAATAGCTGTATATTTTTGCTAAAAAGTTATATATATATAATATATATACTTATTTTTCTTTTAATACTTGGCACTTTTTTGCCACATAAACATTGTACATAATATAATTATTTCCAAACTGTATGGACTGAGAAAGTAATGAAGCTTACAGTGAAATAGAGCCAGTAATGCTTTCTGTCACAGTGAACAGATCTTGTATAAGAGTGCTTTCACTTGTCTTAAGACATGCAACTGAGTCTTCACTTAAAGTGTCTCTGTTCTTTTGAATGAAAGACCGAGCATCATAGGGTACCTAAAATTTGATGGGGAAACAATGAAAGAAACAACACGCTAGTTTCAAACATTGAAACATTTTCTGTAACATTTTTTATCTGTATTTTGTTTTAATATTTAATCATCAGTAACATGATATTAAAAATTTCTAGTGTTTACTAGTTAGAAGTTACATTTTTTGAAAGGTTTTGCACACATTTTTATTAGAGGACTGCTTACATTTTACAATCAGAATTTACAATTGATTTTCAAGTTTTAGTCACCTAAAAATTTTAAGATCATGCTATAAAATATTTAATCTTTAGTGATTTTTGTCAACAATTATAAATGTAATCTTGTGTCTCAAATTTCAGTGGATAAATAATCATAAATAAGAAAGCTCTCTCTACCTTGACTGCAAAGTGCTGTATGCTGAACATTGGTACATCATTAGTTGCAGCCACAAATATAGGGCTAGAGCCATACAACATTTTAAACTCGGCTACCATTTTTTCATCGTTAGAGAATTCAATTTTAGAATCTTCATCAATCATTGCCAGGATGCCAGCTTTTCTCTAAAGAAATAGTATTTAATAATTTAAACATTTAAGATGGCATAATAAGAATTTATTTTATGTATGCTTTGTAAATTATTTCCTGCATGTATCATGGAAACAGAATTGATTTTATATTTATTTGTAACATACAATTCCCCTTGAAGAATTTTTGCTGAAAACATTATTATTTTTTAAATTCTTCATTATAGTTCAGAGTGTCTACATTTCTGTTGACATCTTTAATTTTTTCTCCTTGATACACATTTTGTTAAGCATTTTACAGATAAAGTTTTCACAATGAAACAGATGATCTTTAAAAGGAAAACAATTATTATATTTAAAATATTTGCCTATGAACCTGCATTAAATTTTCTATAGAATCATTTCAAATTATTTTTTTGTTGTAGAGGCCTACTATTCAATAACAATGAAATGATAAGCTTAGATTTAACGAAACCTTGCCCTGTATCACACACATTATGGAAAAAAAAGTATACCTACTTCCATAAACAAGCTGAGGATGGCATCATTGTTGATTCCTTTAACATCAACATCACTTATCTCAATGCCCTCATCCACATACAGCAGCCTCTCATCCTCTATGGCTTGCTTGTTCATGAAATTCTGCATTCCATAAACAAGCTGAGGATGGCATCATTGTTGATTCCTTTAACATCAACATCACTTATCTCAATGCCCTCATCCACATACAGCAGCCTCTCATCCTCTATGGCTTGCTTGTTCATGAAATTCTGCAACATGTGCAAAAATATTTTTTAAAAATGACGAATACATGAATAGGTAACATTACAGTTATAATGATTTATAATCATTATATCATACAAGTTGATAAACATCCACAAAATTGAATTAACCAGAGATCTTCAATATTATAAATCAAGAAATTTTTTTTCTTTGTTCAACTAAAAAAATAAGTCAATTAAAATCAATGAGTTAAGCAATTATATTTTGATGAGTGGAAACTGTTTCAAGCAGGAAAAAAAATAACTGGAGTCATACAATTCATGTTGGCATGATCTGCATACATCAAAATTGTCATCAGATAAAAGCATAAAATACCTAAAGCTAATGCTTGTGTAAAAGTTGTTGTTTTTTTCATATAATTTTACTCATCACAAATACCATAAGACATTAACAATAAAAATGAGTTTAAGTCCTTGAGGACTCTGATCTGCAAACTAATTTGCCACATGATTTGTTTATACTAATCCTGATATTAGAATTAAGGTTTCTAAAGATATGGGTCTCGAAGATTTTTCTGTTTTTGCAAAGGAAAATTAATGTACATGTTCAATAAGATTAGATGAAACTCCATGAAATAAGTATATTACGATTGCTTTTTGACTTACCTGTAGGTGTTCATTGACAAGGTTTATGCACAACTGCTCAAAACTGTTTATTTCCAGGTTTTCAAATCCACAAATATCCAATATACCAATACTTGGCAGATTTCTAATTGAAATAAAATAATAATCCATGAGCTCACCCATAACACAATTTTCATAATCTATAATAAAACTATTTTATTACCAAAAACTACACATTTTTGATATCCTGCTAAAAAAAATAATAAAGTTGTTCAAATTTTTTAGAAGGAATTAGTCATTTAAGAAGAATTGTCAAGCAATGTCAGCGCAAAAGGATTAAAAATAGATCTGTCAATTTATCTGTTTTCACTACTATTTCAAAATCCATACATTTTGATTCCCTTTTAAAGCAATTTTTTTATTATTTTTATTTCTTCTTTTAAAATCTCATTCTCTATTATTTGATACAAATAATTGTTGACCCTCAGCTGTGTTAAATGAGATAATATTAATGCTGCTTGTAATACCCTGGTTTGGGGAAATAGTACTTCTTGGATACTGTCTCATTGTGAATTTTTGAAAATGTATAATTTGACACTGACATGGGAATAGGAAGATAGATATACCATAACATTTGAATATATTATTATTTGTTTACCTGTATTTGACTGATTTGAGTGAATCATTGACTTTCCTGACCAACCATCCAGACATCCTTTCATACAAAGCTTTGGCGATGGCATCTCTCTCATCTTCAACTTGCTTTTTGTTTTTGGAGAGCAGAATAATCTCCCCTACAACATAAACATTTATCTTTATTAGAAACATGGTCAAGTGGATTTTGTTTTGATAAATTAGACAATGTTTCATACATGCCTGATTTCAGAGTGATATCTGCATATTTTTTTGAAATTATGTAAATAATTCAGTTTATTATAAATGTATATCACGTTTTAGAATTTCTTATTGCCCATTTCAGAAAGTAGTATTTGCCCAATTTTAGTTTAATTTATTCATTTAAAAGAATTTTAAATTTATGTTTTATAAGATAATATAATTTACTTTTCAATTGGAATCTATAATATAAGACCATCTTTGGATTAATTTTAGTTTGTAACTTAGCTTCTGTTTACAAAGAGATCTCTAACTATACATGTGCATAACATGCCCTCTCAATACACATCACTGTTCATTCCCTTTTCTACCCACTAAAAATTGTTTAAAACTTTTAAAGAATATGTATCTCTTAAGAATATTAACTCAAACTATATCGTAGATATACTCAAACTATATTGAGGATGTACTCAAACTAAAATATAGATTTACTCAAGCTATTATGTGGATGTAAATTATTGTTATTACATTTGGAGAGGATTAAACTTATATCAAATATAAGATAAATAGATTAAAATAAAATATTTTTAAAAAAAATTCTATGTCAGGGCAATATTATTAGACATGTATTAAATTCAGGATCTGCATCATGGTGTCAAAAATAGACAGATTTTCATGCATTAATTTTTTAAAACTGGTTTTCTATTGTTTGATCATCCACCAGTTGTAGACATTTTAGCACATGAATGTTATTTGAATAAAGTGGATGGAAAAGCAGGTTGGATTGAGAATAACAAGAATGCAGTTGGTTACACTATAGGAAAGATTATCATACCTGTAACGGACAATGTTTTCACATGAAAACAGAGAGGTAGCATGAGTGAACAGTAAATGGAGTTGAACATGTTTTGTCCACGAGGACAATGAATTGTATTTGGAGATGCAAATGTGAACTCCACGTTTTTGGAGAGTAAAATTATGTTTTTGTTAGAGCGGTTGTTTTGCACGCTTTGCTAGTAATAAAGTATGAGTTGACTGAGATAAGGAGAGCTGAGCGCAGAGCAGTAGAGAACAGTAGCGTGAGAGCTGTGAGATTAGACAGTTGAGCTGAGTTGTAGAAGTATGAGGACGTGTTTTTCTTAATGATGGAATACTATAGATATATATATGAAATTACATTCATGCAAGGATTATTTATTAATATTATCAATATAAAGTGTGTTCAATAAAGTACTGTGAGTTTTAACTAGAATTGAGTATTCTTCTTTGCGTGCCTGAATAATAAGTGAAAGAACGAAGAAGACTTAGTCGGCATCCTGAAATATCAACATAACATAAGTAACCATACTACTACTGACATAACAGCATAAGAAATAACATCCCACGCCATGTCAGAGTAGAATGATGTGTGTTACAATACCCAGCAGCTATTCATTGACACAATTGATTAGAATAACCATCTTAACTTCTAGGGCTTCTAAACTTTAATTGGGGCCTGATGATGATTAAACTAGTCAATCTGACTTTTATGTTTTAGAATTATTTTGAATAACATGTTAATGTACCTATTGAAGTAAAAAAAAAAATTAAATTTTTTGTTAAATCAAGACACAATATTATTCAACATTATTCAGTTAATTTGTCCTCAAGATAAGAAGATCATTTAAAATTTAAACAAAAGCAACCCATCTGGGATCAGCTAGGTTGGTGCTGGTCATGCATGTATCCTGTCTGTTCAAAGATGCTTAAAGGAAGGGTATGTACACAACCAAGCAGGATAGGGATGATACCATTGAGAAAAGATTAACAACATGGGAAGATGTGTTATGGGGAGTAAAGCTAAAACCCCTGTAAAAATTAAAAATAGTTTCACTTCCTGACCTAAGTTGTTTTAATTTAAATTTATTGACCATGATCCTAGCTGAGTTTCACTGTCCAACTCTTGACCAAATATTACATTTTTTTTTAAAAGTGGAAATACCTAGGCATTTTAATTCCTATAAATATTTCTAATTCATTTCAATGTTATACTTAAGTATATTATCTGTAAACATAGCCTTATTCTATAAAGACATGAGGCATTCTGAAATGCTTATTTTGGTGCTTCAGTAAAAGTTTAAAATAATAGTCATTGTTTGTAGCTGCTGTCTTTATTAAATAAAACATGACATGTAGAACAAGTTGTTTTTTTTTCTCTCCTTTCTGTGAATTATTTAAATTTTCTCTCAACCGTTATTGTGACATTTAACACCTGAGATGGTGTAAACCAAAAAAATAAAAACGACAATAAAAATGTGATATGCAAGCAGCCAGATACAGGGTGGAGGGTGGCTATTTTAAACTAATTTTTTCAAAGCATTACCTGATTGACTGACTTCATCATCATTAAGGCTAGAACTGTTTTGGCTACTTAAGTCACTTTGATATGATTTGCCTGAGGAATTTCGACAGTTGCACTCTTAAATAATCTTCTAAAATACCTGCTATGTGCCTTTGTGGCAAATTCAAGATCTTAATGTCATCAAAGTAAAATTTTAAACCATTAGCTTTGAAAAATTTTTTGTGTGAAAGAAAAATGAGAATTTAATTTGCAGAAGTGTGAATGAAAGAAATCCAGGAAATAATTGTATGCAAATTAAAAGAAAAAATGCTACATAGGTCTAAAAGAATTATTATTGAGATAGAAAATTTGACATAAAATTTATTAGTAACATAAAGAAGCTTCAAGCATTTTGTTTAAAAAGTTAGTGCAGACTGTTTTGAATCAAAAAATGAATGATCAAGGCCTGACTATGCAAGTAAAAAACATTGTGTTAGAAACACAGTCTTAAAAATGTTGGTAACTTTAACCAATAAATATAAATAAATTATTGGAAAACAATAATAAAGCAATAAAATAGTTAAAATAACTAAATTGTAACTGTTTAAAAAAAAACAACACACACAACTATATACTGAGATGTTACATTATCTTGTGAATAAATATTTTTAACAGATTATAGTAGTTCTTTTTTAATTATTTTTGTATGTAAAGAATTTTTGCTTTTTTTCTGTAGCACACTTGATAATTTCCCAGGTATACACCGGATACAACTTTTTATTAATTTTTTAGTGAACTTTATTAGAATAATCTTTCCTCAAATCAAATAGTAATTCTTTGTTGGTTTAATCATATACTTTGTACAGATATTAATTGCATTTATCAGATAAATGCTTTTAAACAAAATTAAAAAAAAAAAAAAAAAAGATAACAAGACCTATTGTTTGTTTTTTATTACCTTGACTGTTCTAAGTGAGCTTTCGCCACTCCCAGAGAAGCTCATGCTTACAGGTACAACTTGTCGGTCTGTTAAAAATTTAGGGGTATTAATTACTGATGAAATATCTCTGCTAAATATGGTGGAAAAGGAGTGATTGATACCACATGCTTCACACAGCAGATCTCATTCATTTTTTTTTCTCTTTAAGACAAAGGATCACCGAAATTCAATGGTCTTGTACAAGTTTAATAATTTTATGAGTGAGAAAATAAAGAAAATAGAAACTTTTACAAATTATAATGTAAATTTGTTCATACCATGGGTATTTTATGTCACATCTTGAAAACATTAAAATTTTTATTCAATGTATTTTTGTCCAAAAAACCAGACAGCGTATATTTAATTAGTGACCACACTTTGAATTTATTTTTTGAATTTATTGAATTTCGTTGCTCACAAGTTTAGTAGTTATTAGTTAAGACAAATACACTGTTAAATAAAATCACATGCTTTTAGTCATAGAAATGATAAAATAAGATAAAGGACAAGATTTCTTTTTCACAATTTTAAGTAAAAATTATGAATGTGTAAAATTTAAATGTAATGATTTTTTTAGCATGAGTTAATTTTTTTCAAGTACTATAAACCCAAGACTGAATGCAAGGTAATGTGTCCTGTGTTAAAACCTTGCAAAATATTTTTGGGAAATGTTCCTGTCATCTGAAATTGATGTCCTTTGTTCAGGTTGATAAAAATCAAAACAACCTTTATCCTATGGATTATCCTATAAATAACCCATTACATCTCCATTGAATGAAAGAATTTTAAAATATGCCCTTATTCAAACAATTTTAATCAGTTGTAGAGAATTGTTTTAAAGCCCATGTTAATCCTTCTGAAACACTAGGATAATGACTGTAAGAATGGTATGTTTTTATCTTGTAATATTGGTAATAAATATTTAGATATAACCTGCACGAAATTGGACCAATAATCTTAAATCTTAAACTTTTCTTCTATTTTAGAAAAGCATGCAAATATAAAGATAAAGTTAAGACATAATCATGCATAACTATGCTTATTTTATAGCAGCCATCAAGAAGCCACTATACTTACTAGAAGATTAAAAATCTAGAAGAATTATTATGTACTTTTGTATTAAGCCACTGGCTTAAATGAATTAAAATAAATATAGCAACAGAAATGTTACTTCTAATTTTATGATGTGCAATATTTCAGTGCAAAGTGAAATAACTGGGTGCAGTGTGTGATACAGAAAATACATTTATGTCGATTTTCTACAAAAACTATAAATATTAGTGATGTTAAGTAAAAGTATATAGACTGTGAGGCAGCTAATATGTATGCCTACTTAATTCTCTTAAAAGCAAATTATGAACTAGATGAAGGTATTCATGACTTTATTCAATTCCAATTGGTTTAACAAAAGAAAATAGGCTCACTGAAGACAAAACTCATTTTTTTTAAAGCAGGGAGTTAAGACAATTATTTTTTAAAGTGTTGGTTAATATAGTTCAACTAGTGCATTAGTGTTTCCCCAAAATTGTATGGTCCAATGTTAAGTTTTAATAGTATAAATATTCTTACCTTTTCCCAACCGTCCTTTGCGTTCAATCAAAACTTTTGTCAGGTTCATTGCATCCATTTGAAGCAAAAAGGCAGCTAAAAATTAAGATATTGATATAAATTTTCATTCAAAACATAATTATTTTAATTCATATATTTATTACAACATTTTTATGGCTTAACATGTATAATTCTCTGTTGTCTTATATTTAAAATTACTTGAGATAATCGATCTATATGAGTCATCTGCTCACCTTGCTGTACATATGTTTCATTTTTTATAGAGACACAATCGTTTTCGCTTTCCACAAACTCAACATTTCCAAGGTGAAGGACAGCTGCCAAAATAGTATTCACATCTAGGATTTCCTATTTTAAAAGAAAAAAGTCTAAGTGCCAAAGTTTTTAAAGCTACAACTATGCATTTTTTTTTCTAGTAAATTTTATAAAACAGTAGACCAGTGAAGCCTATGAAATGCAAGGAGCAATTAAGTCAAAATCAAGACATGAAATAAACCGCCATACAATAACTTTTGATTCATCATCATCATCATCATCATCGCCTGTCGTCCCGTCTGGGGCATAGGCCACAAACAAAGGCTCTCCAGGCATCCCGGTCTTGGGCAAGTCTCTCCAACTGTCCCCAGTTGTGCCCACTCTTTTTGATGTCTGCCTCCAGTTCCCTTCTCCAAGTTGTTTTGGGTATTCCAGCAGCAACTTGGACAGTTTTTCCAGTTTCGAACATGGTCCTTACGTTCCAAACTTTTGATTACCATGCTCATTAACTTAATGTATTTATAAAAATTAATATGTTTTAAAAAAAATAACTTACATCTGCTGTTAGTTTAATGAGTTGGAAGACATCTTGCTGACTCTGGTAAATGTGCTTGTAAAGGTCCTTCTCTTTGCCATTGAGAGCATAAAATTCTCCAGTAATTCTGATAAAAGTTTTTAAAAGACACATTTAAATTCTATCTATTATAAACCACATAGTTTAATAATTTTGAATAACCTAAATTTTATTTAACATACCAGCTCATTTAGTTTTCATTTAAAGCAACTATTAGTAATATGAATGATTTCTTAGGAATGTTCCACAGCAGGTCGTTCTTTTACTTACAGAGGATGCACCCAAATATATTGTATGGTCTATCAGTAAAATTCTGATTTATTTAAGATACAAAAAGGTTTGTACTCTTTTTTTTAAAATTAATAATTATTCATTTTCAGGAGGATCTTGATTAAGCAAATAGTTCATGCAATTAATTAATAAAAAGTAAGAGGTTAAATTAGTGTTTGGACAGCTATGATGTGTCAACAGTGGTATGAGTAGCCAAATTTTCTTTCAAAAGTTTTCTAGCCTTAAGGTGAAGTCAACTTGCATTTAGCCAAGTTACCATTTTTCATACTGAAATTTCTACTCTTGGGTCAATGTATCATTTAATCCTTTACTATGGTCCAGCGTCCAGTCTGAATTTATAATTTTACTAGAATCTCATCTATCTCATTTTTCTCATGTTACCTGAATATATCTCTTCTATTAATGTATAAACTATCCGGCAAATCATCAGGTGCACCGACCAGCAGTGCATAAAAGGCATGGAAGGTTCTCTCCTTTGGGTTGTGGTGCACTATCCTTGATCTCTCGATCATGTAGTCCTTGACTCTAGCTGGAAGATTGTGAGAGGGCAAGGGGTGATCTCATGTCATGAAAAACCAAAGAATGAACTCAAGAAAATATTTCATTTAATTATAATGTTAACGCTGTAATTTTAAGTACATTATATTACCAACAGTTATTCAATGGCAGTCTCTAGTTATCTCTTTATTAAACTTATGGCACTTTCTTTTCATAGAGCCCTGGCAAAAGCTCCATGTTTTGACTAGATATTTTATGGGGACTTGGACAAAAAAAATACACAACTTTTGGGGAAAATAAAAAAAAAAAGATAGAGATGGGAGGAGGTATCTTCATGGACTTTATGCAAATATTTATTTTTACAACAATTTTTTATTTTTAAATGTTACTTTTTATGCTGACAGCTGGAGTATTAATTTAGACCTACAGATGTAATAGTTACAAGAGTGAATCTTGGATGAAGCATGCTATACAAAAAAACAACAAACAATTTTAATATGATATAACTACTTTAGACACAGTGCGACATAGTTCATAATTATTTTATTGTACTCACCACTTTCAATTTTTCCTTCTTTGTTGAAACTTAGTGCTGGAAACTTAGCAAATCTACTTGAGTTGTTGTTTAAGATTGTCTTAGCGTTACCAAATGCCTCAAGTAGTGGATTTATCTATAGATTCAAAAGATTTAAGTAAGTATTGAGAACTAAAAACGCTAGTTTTATGTAATCAATCACATCTAAAAAAATGTTTGTACTTAATTCTAGTTATAAGGATAGTAATTTAAGTATTTACATTGATTCATATTTTCATTTGAATAAGTCCTGAAAATTAAACAAGTTAATAGACAGTTAAATTAAAGCCTATTGAAATAATGGTAATGTTGCAAGCCTCTCAATCAACCTTTCAGTAAAGAATTAGAGAGTTTGAATTTGTTCAAAATTAACTGTTAACATAAACATGGCAGTAGTCTTTCCTATTATATTCAAGCTGGATGCATAAAATCAAATTGTAAATGTTTGTATTTTTATATAATTTAGCATGTTATTTATGCCTAAAAAAAGATGCCTAAATCTTAAAACATCACACTGACACAGATTGAGGAAACTACAAAGACAAGAATGACAAGGGCTGTGATTGGGGACACAGGTTTCAAGATTTCACCTTGATAATTTTGTCCTGCAATGTGTCATACTCAGTCCCACCAATGTGCATCAAATGTTGCACCATGAGTTTTGTTGCCTCTGTTTTACCTGCACCAGATTCACCACTGACCAAAATAACCTGAGAAAGTCAGATCGAAATAGCTCATAATAAAATTCCATAATCAACAAAAAATATAAGAACAACTACTGATCTTTTGTTATTGTTAGCTAAAATTAAATAATATAACAAACAGCCAGGCAGCAAATTTAACATGAGTATGGTAATCTTCTCAATGATAAAAAAATAATGGTTATATTATATTTAAGTCTTTTATTTAAATAGTTAGAAAATTCTAATTAGTATATTATTACTGCATTTTGACAGGCAAAATCTGTCCTACATTGGCATTAGTAATTAGTTTTTAGGTCACCTTTTAGTATTTAGTTTGAGAACCTACCTGGTCTTGTTCTAAGTCCCTGATACCAGAATAGGCTCTGGCAGATATGGCATACAGGTGAGGTGTTTGTGAGATTTGACTATATCTGTACTCATCATAATACTAAAAATATAAAAAAATTCATGTATAATAATGCATATAACATTATTAAATGTAGGCTTAGAGTGTGTGTGTTTAAAGAAATTATGAAAAAAAAGCTACCATTGTACCATACTTTGAGTTTTCCCTGTCATCTTTTCTCATTCATTAGGATAATGATAATGCAAAAATATATTTTAAAAAAGAATTTATTTGAGATTGGTTTAACACTGCGTATTATTATGATTATAATGTTTTATTTAATAGGGGGAAACAATTTGTCCTTGAATACAAATATAATTATTATAATCACGGTCATGGTATCATGAAAGGATTTACTCAGCTTACTGGGAAAAATATACATTACTATACATATAGAAATAGTATGTAGTTATAAATAAAAGGAGGTGCCTAAGCCTAATTCAACGTTATTTTAATTAAAACAATACAATTTTATCACAAAGTAAATGAATGGTGACATCCAAGTTCTACTAAGCTTCTCAACTAACTTTTTTGTATAAATTTTATTTTTATATTATTTTTAAAAATTTTTGTTATTTATAATAAAAAAAATTAATTAATTAAAATTTTTATTTTTTTATTTTTATCATTCTATAACTCAATTCCTCTAAAACTACTACTAAGACTACTACTATGAGAATCATGCCATGCATCTAAATATAAATCATCTTCACTATCAAAAGAAATATTATAAAACAATTCCAAAGCTTTTTCAACTTTTAATCGTCTAGGAAACTTACCTACTTGGGCCTATGGTAGCCATAGCAACAGTAAAAAAAAAAAAAACCCCAAGAAAATCGTCAAAATAATGCTTCAAATGACAACAAATCAACCTTAGTTTTGCTTGTAAACAATGAAGTACCACTCTTCTATGTAAAAGTCTTATTTAAAAATAGCTCTTAAAAAGTTTAACCAAGAAATAGCAAAGAAACAAACATGATATTGAAACACGAACAGCGCGTTGGTCCGTGCTTTTGAGAACGGCGGAAGAACGCAGTATGCGTTGTTCCGCATCGAAAGAGTTAAGGCATTATTTCTTAGAAATTAATAGCGTCTTTCCAACTGAAATGTATGTAATTGACATCTGAAAAGTTCAGGAACATTTTAAATAATTAGTAAAAAATGGTAAAGTAAATTTACACTGCATGTAAAAAAGAAATTATCATTGGTCCAAGTCAGGGGCAGTAATGCATGGACCAATAGCAGTCCTTAATTAGCTAGTTAACAAAGACATTTAAGACTTTGGTTGCATTCTATTTATATCAAAATTTATCCATGAAGTAGTTTTTGTTGCTAAGGAAAGTGTGTGCAGACAAATTGGATAGTTAGTTAATAAGGAGGGGAAAACCTGAAATTAAACAAAGAAGAAGAAGGCCTTTTGCAAACACATCCATTGTTTTGCCCTTTTTCTATTTTCCCTTTCCTTTGTATTATTTTCTTCCCTTTACTAAACCCAATGGTATCCCCACCTGGAATCCTTGAATAGGGTTGGCCAACCCATGCATATTGCCTGCCAGCTCTATCACAAATAATTTTTTGTTGGGTTCAATTAGTGATTATTTTCATTCTTGTCAAAAATGCACATGTTAAATGTATACAAAGCAATTGTTTGTAACTGTATGCAACCTTTTGATGCATCTGCCCCTCCTTTGAACAACCTTTTGATGCATCTGCCCCTCCTTTGAACAACCTTTTGATGCATCTGCCCCTCCTTTGAACAACCTTTTGATGCATCTGCCCCTCCTTTGAACAACCTTTTGATGTATCTGCCCCTCCTTTGAACAACCTTTTGATGCAACTGCACCTCCTTTGAACTGATTTTTTTTTTAAAAATATTTATCTCAAATTTAAATAACATTTTAAAACATCATTACTATTTAGTAACCACTAAAATTAAAATTTAAAGAAATGCAGCTGGGTACAGGAAACCTAATTTACACAGGCAATAATTTGTTCTGTTGTTTTGTGCTTTAGTGTAGAATGAAAAAAAAACCTAAAGTCAAATATGTGCCAGAAGGCATCCCTGCATTCTGACATAATAATTTTTAAAATCTATGGGATTTCCCCAAACACCTCCCCCTTACCCCCCAATTTGTTTGGTGGGTGTCCTTTACTTCCGATACAACCTCCTCCACCTTCCCAGATCAAAGTTGCAAAAAATCAGCACCTTTTATTGGTAATAGGCACTAAACATAAAATATTAAAGAGCTATATTTTGATTAAAATCTATGCAATCTATTTAAAGTCTCTGGAAACATGAGAATACAAGTTATCATTGGAGTAAGACCATGCCACCTTTTGTTTTTAATACAACATTACAACCCCCTCTGAAAGTTTACAGGGCCCTTGCCAAGATTCTGGTAATCATCTGATAAATTATGTGCATGAAAGAATAAATAAATAATTCAGTACATCTTTTATTGAGTATTTCTTTCTTTCTTAGGTTTAATGACAAACAGATTGCGAGACGTTGACCACGGGATCAAAGTTGCCCTTTAAGCCATTTGGGTTGGCCCCCCCTGTCCTTGAAATTATGTTAGTGTAAAATCTATGGTTAGTTAAGAATGTCTTTAGTAGGCTGCACTATGGTATAGGAATATTTATAATTAGGTTAAATTGTTATTAAAAGAGAGTCTTCAAAGAAGAGTTGCATTGCTTGTAACACAATCCCTAAGAGAGTCTTCAAATAAGTGTTGCATTGCTTGTAACGCAATCCCTAACATTTGAATGTTTGTGGAGGACTATATGTTAATCATTTAGACAAACAGTAGAGTCTTATCACTTGACACCAAAAAATCTATTAAAATTTGGAAATATCAACTTTACCATTGCAAGACTTGTTGTCTTGTTGTATTGAGCTGAAATCCAACGGCACATATATGACCCTTCAGTGTTTGTACACAGCTGACTGCAGGGGTTTGGGCTGTCATTTCTACATTCATCCTTGTCTGAAAAGGCATTATTCTGTCAACAACTGCATCAAATATTATTAATATTCTGCTGTTAAATATATACTTATTATTGTGCGTTGAATTAAAATTTGGAAAACTCCGGATCCTTTATACAACAAAAGTGTGTACCATTTAAATTCAGAATTTAAAAATTGCTTTGGAAATTTGGACCTGTTTATTTTTTGTATGTAATTTTTTAAAAAACATCACAGATCTTTAAACATATTAAACATTGCCTGGATTGATTGATTTTAGAATGCAGTGAAAATTTTTTCAGTGAAAAACTGTTTTCTATGTATTAAAGCTTAGTGACAATGTTAAAATAATAGAATTGATAATGAACTTCCATACCAACACATTTCCCTTTCATATCTTCAAAGCTGACAGGACAAGGCCCACAACTGTAGCCCATGGTACTGTTTCCTTGTTCTGCTGCTGTTAAATCAGTACAGTTTTGTCCCTTAGAGCATGGTTGGCTATGGCACCCATCCAGCTCTGCTTCACAATCATCACCTGGAGATAAGTCATTTATCTACATTGAAGTATTTAAATAATCATTATTTACACTTAAGATGACATTTTGGAATGATAATTGTTTAAACAATTCATGTTTTAACCCTCAAACTGTGATCGGCCAAAAAAATCGGCCGATAAAAAACACGGTCGGATGGCAACTTCCAATCCAATATTTAACTGGAATCATAGCCACTTCCTTTTATTAATAATTAAATCAACTTCCGGGTCAAGCTGTTTCTTGATAACTTAACAATAAGTACTTTTTAATCAGAATTTTCCATCACTGCTTTTTTTTAAAGCTAAAATGGTTGAAGCTAGGGCTGGTATTTCAGTGCAGTGACTAATACAAATATTTTTTAAAGCTTTTTAGGGGAAGATTTAAGTGATACTGATGATGATTTTAACATTCCCCATGACATCACAGTTCAGATTCTTCTTCTCGTTAATCTGACACTAGTCTTAGTCATACTGAAGTAGGCCTACTGTTAGACTTCGAGCCAGGCCTGGAGGTTGGGCAAAGACTGACTGAATTTTAATCACAGAAGCTACAGATTATAGATCAGAACTAATACATTGTATAGTTAAACAACTCAAATCAGTTCCACAGTTCCTTTTTAAATGTTTACTAGTCAATAATAACTATTTTGCCTGAGATTTTGTATGTTGTACTTGGTTTTAGCTGTGGTCCCAGTTACTTATTTTTTTCAGTAATAAATGACCTAAAATTACTAAAATTGCTTTCAGAGGTTTAATTGTAATCAAAATCTTAGCAAACTATACATTTTCTGAAAGATAAATGAAATGGCTACAACATTTAGATTAGTGTTTTAAGTGAATCTATAAAATTAATGATGTTATGAGCACTTAAAAGCAAGACATCTTGTCGATTTTCTTTTTTCTTGAGCACTCCGAGGAGAAAGATAAATGAAATGGCTACAACATTTAGATTAGTGTTTTAAGTGAATCTATAAAATTAATGATGTTATGAGCACTTAAAAGCAAGACATCTTGTCGATTTTCTTTTTTCTTGAGCACTCCGAGGACAAGGACACTGATCAAAATTTTTTTTATGGTGTGGGCAATATAGCCAACTTTATCCCCATCCATTTACTTTTCTAAAAATATTTCCATTTACCTTTCTAAAAATATATACTTATTGGGGTCTTGTATCAATATTTCTATGTCATTTAATGCAATTTCAAAAGGCACTCAAAAAGCCCTGAAAAGCTCCCACACTACAGAATGATCCATGCCACAGTTTGAGGGTTAATATTCTAGGTTAAAAATCTAGGATCTAAATCTTCACATTTATTATTGCCAGTTAGAGGGATAATGCTAAGGCTAAAACATTATGATTTAACCCCAAAAAATGCAATAATTAGACAAACTTTTAAGGAACTTCATTGAAGTTAAGGGAAAAATGTAATATTTTTTTTTGTAGCATTTCTTTCTCTCTTCCCCCCACCTTCCCAATTTTTGTCCCCCAATACATTAATCAACTGCTTGATTCTTCTTTATCCAGTTTGGCAAAATACATTTATTGAAATCATTGTATTAATAATTGTTCATTCTTTGAGATAGTTATCCAAAGTCCTAAATAAAACCACTGCAACATCAATTAAAATGTGCAGAGTTAAAAAAAATACATTTACTTTTTATTAAATAAAAGATTAATTTTAAAATGATTCAACTACATATCCATGATTTAAGAAATGACAGTCAACAATAATGTCTCAACTTATAGTTACCAGTATATGCTGACTGACAGTTGCACTCAAAGACAATATTTAGTCCTCCACCATATTCCACATTTCTTGTGATGTTGTCATTGCATTTACCATGTTTGTTACAGGTGGGGCAAAGAATTGTGGGAACGTAGAGAATGGAGGAGTAGCTTCCCTTTGAGTCCCTGGCTCTCAATCTGATTTTTAAAATGATTCATTTGTGAAAAATAATTTGGCTGAATTCATGAAAAGCATTGTAAGCAGACAACTAAATAAGTAGAGTATCTTGTTATACATAAGGTGCAGGACCTACTTGCAATCTATATGAATAGTTCCACTAGAGCATGAATAGCTGAACATACATCATGATTTTTGGACCCGTGAAATTCATTTATGGTATTAATGGAGCTTTTCAAAATTTTATGAGCTTTTCTTTATATATATATATATATACAAAAATCAAACTTTTTTTTTTGTTGGGTTCATTTTTCTATTTTTTGATCAGGTTCCATGACTTAGGTTAGTTCTCCTGTTGTTTTTTTTGTATAGCAAAATTTTAATACCTAAAATTATTTTTGAAAAAGAGTACAAATGACGTAGCTACATTTGCTTAGCATTAAAATGCTCACCCTAGGACTGGAAGACTTTGAAGACTAGGGAAATAGGTAACAGTTCCATTTTGACTGACTGTGGTTTGATTTGAGTCACCAACAAGCTCATACATCACGTCATCACCATCTTCATCCCTTGCTACCACTTGAATTGTAATAGTTATCAGCTCATAGACAACCCAGCGGTTGTTGCTAAAGCCACTCCAGATGATAAGCTCTAGTGTTGAAGAGGTGTTATCTTATAACAAAGAAAACATTTTTTTAAACATTAAACAAAATATATGATCCAAATTGATGCTCAAATGTGATAACTTTAGCTTTTCATGAACTTATTTAATATTTTCCAGAGCTAATAAAAGCCAATATTCTAAAGGGATACATTTTTAATCTAATATTTTTGTTTCAGTAACTGAACATTATTCTATCAATGTTGACTGTTATGGTCATGGATTTAAACAAAAATTAGAAATTTGAAAATGATTTTATCATCAAAATTTCAATTAAGCTATGTTTGTGCTATGGTTCAAATTAAAATATCACAATAATTATATTAACTTTTATAAGTCGAAAATTATATTTACTTAGACTTTGCATGATAGCCTCCATTTCATTCTGGCTATCCCTCGTATTTTGTGCAAATGTCTCATCCCCTGTAAGCATGTAATCAAATATGCAAGCATCATTTTGATTGCCACAAAACTCTACAGCTCTGGACAAGTCAGCAGGATTAAATTCATCTATGAATATTGGTTCCATATTTTGGCATGGAATTCTGCTGACATTTTCATCTACAAAGTTGAAAATGGAGTCAGCTGGCGAAACATCTGTATCAAATAATAAATATTGATTGTTTGTTAGCTTTGGAATGGAAGAGTTAACATAATTAGAATTTAACATTTTTAAACATTTAAATAAGAAATGAAAAAAATTTGAAATGATTCTTCACATTGCATAAATTGATTTATTTTAATTACCGGTACCTGAAGATATTTAAAAGATTATACATTTAAAAAAATTATTTCTTTAGTGAATACAAATTAAAAATCTTTCAGTAATTTCAAATGTACAGAGTTGTAAAATATTTTTAAGATGTAATAATTATAAATACTCTACTCGAAGCTATTGTTCCCAACCATTTAAAGTCCCTGTTGTAAAGTAATTTGTAACTATACGACTTCTTGAAAAATGATTTGTTTGGGCATGTCTTTTCTAAATATAATAAATAGCTATAAGATATATTGATCCAAGCAAATGATTTTGGTCAAAAAAGTTTAAACTTTTTCCAAAAGTCTGAATTCATAAAAAAAATAAAAAAATTCTTTCTTAAATATCACATAAATTTAAAGGAAAAGGACTAAACAACTTGCTTTACAATTATCTTAATTTAGGCCTACTTTTAATATGGAGAAAAAAAACACCAAAATATGAAACTAAATACATGAAATCTCTATGCCATAATTTGGCTCTGCGAATCAGACAAATCTTCCAAAAATAAGTATAAAAGAATATTTTAAAATCTGCTATAGTTTGATAAAAACTTATTTCATTGCAGATAAACCTTTTAAAATTGATCATTGGCATTGGAAAAAAAAGTAAAATGTTTTTTCCGAAACATAATAGAATCCCACGACACCATATACTACTTGAGGGGGGAACTAAAACTTTGAATAATACTCATAGGTTATTTAATGAAACTTAGAATTCTCACATGTTTTGGCAAACAGGTAAAAAATCTGCCTCTCTGTTAGATTTTGGGACAGCACCGTGCCATCTTGTAACTGGAACTCATCATTTTTGTTCATGTTAAAGTTTCCTAGAAGACCTCTGGTCCTGTCCTGTAGGGATTTGTCCACTTCCATTTCCAGCTTCAAACTTTTTACACCCAAACTATCTTTGATGGATACACCTGGGATGTTCAGAGATTAAATAATGATAGTCTAAACTTAGATTTAAATAAATGGAGGTAAAACGATTTAAAAAATAAATATCAAATCATCCTAGTCTGTGAGGTAAAATTTAACGAAATAAATGCAAACATTTGCTAGAATAATGCCTATACTCTGTTCATCCACTTAAAGTGTGTTAAATGAGAATTAAGTTTCTGATGAGAAAAAAAAATCCATAAGAAATGAATCACCAGTAAAAAATTAAATAACAAACACTTAGTGTTTTAGGTAAATAATGAAAAGAAATAGATTTGACAAATTTATAGTCTTATGGATAAGGCATGTAAGTCTTTTTCTTATATTTGACTGAAGCTTATCCATAAAAAAAACAAACCTACATTTTTTTATATGACTTAATATTATTTTATCATACCAAAGGAATTTTCAATTGACTATTTTATTGTAAAATACTAATTAAAACAACTTATTTCACTTCTGGAAAGTAATATAGATAAAATGTATTTGCTGTAGATAAAAATAAAGTAAAAATTAACTAAATAGTGTTAAATAGTGTTAAATATTATAAATAAATGTTATGTTTTTTAAAGCTGATGCTACAAATTAACAATAAATATAAATTTCAAAATAAAAGTAGCTCATAAATAGTCATCACCTGCTTTACCCCAGGGAAACACTGCTACAACAGTTGTCACATTGTTTCTGTTTTCACGTCTGATGTTCATGTATCCTGTTGAAGAGCTGTAATTGTCTTGAGCGTAGAAATCATTTGTTACGTCAAGGTCATCAGCAAAGAGAACCATAGCTGTGAGACAAATAGAAAGTGAATTATTAAACTTAATTTTTTCATCAAAGACTTTTACTTTTAATAATAGTTTCATTTTTTAATTTAATAAAAATGCTATTTAATATTTTGTTTAAAGAATGGTTGAACACACATTTTTGCTGTAAATTTAAGTAAAAGTCCTTATTTCTTATTATAAAAAAAGTAACAAACTACTCTTTGTCAGCACAACATACTATTGCTTGTAGATGACAATGTCACTTGAAACTTTGCATAGTCTCCCTCCACTGCAGCAAATCCAACAAAAACTGTGGCATTAGTAAGGGTTCCATTCTTTGTTTCTGCCCGGCCAGTGCGGGCCTGAAATATTGATAGTAATCAATTTCAAAATTGACTATATTAAATCCTAACTGGAAATAGAGGGTTGTCATCTTGCATAACCCCTTATAAACAAATTTTTTTTTTTAAATTATCAAAATTTATTGTTAGGCACTATCAATCAAAGAAAGATAAAATATAAACTTTATACTGAAGATGACTTTAAAAAAATAAAGATATGGAAACTCTATCAGCAATGAACTCAGATAGTCTTTCCTGACAGCTGTTTCACGATGTCATGGCAAAAATATTTTGTCCAAAACCTAAGAAGGTAATGGTACTGGAAATTTGAACGTAAGAAATTTGTTTGAGGGAACATTTATTTTTGATGGCAGTTGGAACGGAAATTCGTTCACAGTGAAATTTCTTATTCCACTAATCTGCACTCCTGCCCAATGGTTTATTTCTTACTCCACTAATCTGCACTCCTGCCCAATGGTTTATTTCTTATTCCACTAATC